GATTCTCCAGCATCTGCAGTTCCTACTATCTCTGGGTCAAGTATTTGGGCAGGTTTGTGCTGTAAATGCCAAATGCACTCAAACTTTAAAATGTTTAACAGCTTTCAAGATAGAAGAGAGCTTTACCTCCTGTATCTGGTCAAATACTGAACGCACATCCTAAATTTTTAAGTCCAAGTATTGCTGTTCAAACTAATTCGCCAGCCATATTATTTCATTCCACTTTTGCAAAAATCACTTCACAAAACCTACCCAAAGGAACTCGGGTAAGTAGACAAAGTGCTTCATGGTGGGATAGTCCTGAACAAAGAGACCATAACCTTAAAATTAGAGCTAGGCCATTCAGGGGTGATTCATAAAGCATTTCTCAAATAAAATATAGTAACAATTTATAATTTACTACTTCCATGATTCTACTGAGGCTGGGGGCTAATTGAAGTTTCAAAATTGAAATTAATTAATTTTTGTTCGATATTAAGGTGGATTAGTGATTTTTAACATAATTCATGATCTAATTGAATGATGGAACAGGCTCACGTATCTGAATATGAAATCCTGTTTCTTCAGATGTCACATTATGATCATTGATTAACAAATGAGCGTAATGATTAATAATCTTATATGCATCATGTGAAATGAAAGAAAAATGAACAGACAGCATTTATATTTGAGATTTCACATTCCCAGGACATTCCAAAGTGCTTCACCCATTAATTGCTCTGTTACTGTTGTTTTGCAGACAGACATGACAATTAAGTTGTTGGCTGTTAAGCTATGCAAAAACCGATGAGATAAAATATCATTTAATGGGCAGAATTTTCTCATTTTTGTTTAAAATGTTTCATTGAGTGAGATTCATGGCAGCCCATCCACCATGGCTTGGAGACTCTTTTCCAATCCAAACTTCTTCCCTTTACCTCATGATACAGCTGAGCTCATAGCCATAATTCTTAGGGAACCATAGTCACAGAGGCTTGCCTCTGCAGGGTCCTCCCAGTGAACACATCTCTGAAACTATACCCACTATATACACAAATATGCACCAGCTGCACACCATTTCAGATGACACACTGTGACGCTCAAGCCTCAACATACAGAACATGGCCCAGAGGAAGGGAAAGCTTGCTTCCCACTTGACAGACAGGGACCAGGAGATGCTGGTGGTCAGAGAGGTGGCAAGGAGGGCAGTCATTTCCAAGTCACCAACTGCAAGAGGTCACCCCTTAATACGCATAGCCTTGAACCAAAGTTATAGCCCTGGCCAGTGCCGTGTTAGAACATAGAACATAGAACAGTACAGCACAGTACAGGCCCTTCAGCCCATGATGTTGTGCCGAACTTTTACCCTAAACCTAAGGTCTATCTAACCTCCACCCCTATCTTATACTATCATCCATATGCCTATCTAATAGCCGCTTAAATGTCCCTAATGAGGCTGATTCCACTGCCCTCTCCGGCAATGCATTCCATGCCCCTACCACTCTCTGAGCAAAGAACCTACCTCTGACGTCTCCCCTGTATCTACCTCCACTCACTTTAAAACTATGCTCCCTCGTAATAGCTACCTCCACCCTAGGAAAAAAGGCTCTGGCTGTCCACTGTATCTATACCTCTGATCATTTTGTACACCTCTATCAGGTCATCTCTCATCCTTCATCGTTCTAAAGAGAAAAGCCCTAGCTCTCTCAACCTTTCCTCGTAAGACCTTCCCTCCATTCCAGACAACATCCTGGTAAATCTCCTCTGCATTTTTTCCAACGCTTCCACATCTTTCCTGTAATGAGGCAACCAGAACTGGACACAATACTCCAGATGTAGCCGAACCAGGCTTTTGTATAGCTGGAGCATAACTTCACGGCTCTTGAACTCAATCCCTCTATTAATGAAAGCTAACATACCATTTGCCTTCTTAACAACTCTATCCACCTGGGTGGCAGCTTTCAGGGAACTGTGGATATGAACCCCAAGCTCCCTTGCTCCTCCACACTGCCAAGAATCTTTCCGTTAATCCTGTATTCTACTTTCAAATTTGTCCTTCCAAAATGAATCACCTCACACTTTTTATGTGTTGCTGGTGAAGTGGAATGCCGAGCAGTGCAGGCAGAAGTGTTATGCAAAGGCAAGTGCCACCAGCCTCTCTCTGCTACCTCACACTCAGCAGGCCATCACTCACTTGAATGTGATTGCATGCATTATATGCACTCATCAGTTGTCATCATCCTTTCAAACTACTAACTCTTCCTCTCCTCTGTATTTCCTACTCACTCACTCACTGGAGATACCTCACCACTTCTCCTGCCCATGCATCACCACTAGCTGCTGTTCTATTTGCTTCCATTATATTAAATGTCTCCTATTTGTCTCACTGCAGGAAACATTGGCCAACAGGTTGGCTGAAAAGTCCAAACCTGGTGTAGAGACTGTTGAACATCAGGCTGCTCACTCTCCGTGAAGTCAATGATCAGTTCTTTTGTTTTGCTGACATTGAGAGAGAAGTTGGTATCATTGTGCCACGACACCAAACACTTTAGCTCCTTTCTGTATTCTGACTCATCATTGTTTGATATCCATTCTACCATGGTGGTGTCATCAGCAAACTTGTAGATGGTGTTCATACGGAATTTGGCTGCACAGTTGTGGGTGTACAAGTGGGGGCTGAGAACGCATCATTGTGGGGTGCCAGTGTTGAGGACTATCATAGAGGAGGTGCTGTTGTCTATCTTCACTGATTGTGATCTGTGGGTCGGGAAGCTGAGGATCCAGTTGCACAGGATGGAGCCGAAATCTAGGTCTCAGAGTTTTGAGATTAGTCTGGTAGGGGTTATGGTGTTGAAGGCAGAGCTGTACTCAATGAGTAGGAACTTGACATAGGTATCCTTGTCATCCAGATGTTCCAGGGATGAGTGTGGGGCTAGGGAAATGACATCCGTTGAGGACCTGTTTTGCTGGTAGGCAAATTGCAGGGGTTTGAGGCAGGTTGGGAGGCTAGAGTTGATGTGGGCCATGACTAGCCTAAGGAAGTATTTCATGATTATGGAGGTCAGAGATACCAGGCAGTAGTTGTTGAGATACTCAAATGCAAAATGTATAGGTTTCTTTCATACAAAAAATATATTTTGGAGTCCAGCCTATTTGTAACTGTATAGTGAGCTTGCGAGGAACAGGTGACTTTAGATCAATGGTACCCAAAGCTCTCCATCACTCGGGGTTTTCCTCACTTCACCTCTGTGTCCGTTGCAGACTCATTGATAAGAGATTGGTTGCTCGGATACATTAACAACTTGTTGAACAATATAACTCCTGGGGTGGGATAAACTGAACAACTCCTACTACTTTCTTTTTAAAGATTGTTTTACATCGTAGCTTCGCCTGGTGTCTGTTATGCCCTATGCGGAATACGATATCTCAAGCGTCACAGAGAATTGGGATTATGTGCAATGTTCTTTTATATATTGGCTTTTGTGGGCGTTTGAGTTTCAACTAAAGAATAATGAACATAACATTTTCCTAAATGGAAAGTCAAAAAAAAAACTTAATGGCTCTTGTGATAGCAACACGAGTGCGTTCGATCTAAATAGTATTCCACAGTGACCACGCAAGATCCTATTTCACTTTTACATGTGAAGGTATTGCAAAGGAACAAAAACGTATTGGAAAACAGACACAAACGATTGCATTTTAGGTATTGGGTTAAAGGAAAAAGCGTTAAAAAGTGACTGTCAACGAAATCTGCTCTTGCAACCCTGCAACGTGGCGAGTTCAAACTCCTCAACACGGGGACACGCCCTCTCCCCAATCGGAAGCCCTTTAACAAAACCGCACTCGGCTGGCTAAACTGCAATCGGAATGTTGAGTGGCTCAGTCCCACATCAAAGGCAGATACATGAAGCGGAGCAGGGGGGCGGGGACGGCGTTAGCCGTCGGGTTTGAAATAAATTTGTAACTTACATGGGACAGAATCTTGTGCGTAGCTCTGAAGAGGCGGTCGCTCAAAGTATCAACGGGGGGATTGTTTCAAACAGGTATTTGAAATTTGCTTCCATGTATGAGAGAAAATGTAATGATTGATTAAAGCTGAAGTTTATAGAATTGTTTGTATCTTTGTTGCAGGTTTCATTCGTTACAAGATATTGCAAGATGAGGAACCCACGCCTGCTCTATTTGTTGCTCCTCTACGTGGCCGGAGGCTGCCCCAAGCCCACTTTGAGACACGAGCGGGTCCATCAAGAGCCACAGCTCAGCGATCAGGTACACGCCGACTCGGAAAACTTCCAGTACGACCATGAGGCCTTTTTGGGCAAGGAAGAAGCCAAGACGTTCGAGCAGTTGACCCCGGCGGAGAGCGTGGAAAATCTGCGGTAAGTTTGGGACGTGGCTATGTGACCGAGTTTGAACTGGATATCCAGATCCCCTCGTCAGCTGTGGCTGCCAATTTCACCAGCTTAAAACATGCAGCCAAGGTTAGATGTTAGCTCCCTGTTAATTTCAGCGTATTGAAATTCCGTTTATCACCACGTTTAAAGTTAAAAACCAGTTTCTGTCCAGTTAACTTTACAGTAAACGTGCAGGTGAACTGTTACTAACCACAGTCAGGTTATAAATCCTGCTACTTCAAAACAACGGCGCAACGTTAGTTTCCAAACTCCTTCGCAAAGTTTCGTTTTGCGATTTGCTGCTGTTACACAATTCCCAAAAGAACAGCAGGCAGTGTCTTTAGAGAAATGTCTTGTTCACACAGAAACGTGGCAGTGGGCGTCTGTCCAGTGACTAACTGCTTCTGAATGTACTTTGGGGCTGTCTCCTTAACTTCTAAGATATCAGATATATACATCGAACCCCCTTGCCCTCAGGACGCCCAAAGCCTCCTCACAAACAGGGGAACGCTTCCTTGGAAGTGTAACCACTGTCGTAATGTTAAGGAAATGCAGGACCCAAGTCGTAAACTTCCTCAGGCAGCAATGTGAGAATGATCCAGAACAGGTTAAATATTGGACAAAAGCCCTGGAAAGTTCACGTGATTTTTCTAGAGCATTGATTTAATGTTTTGTCCAAAATAGGGCATTTCTAACAGTGTAGCACTCCCTCAAATGTAGATGATGTGCTGGAGTCTTTGAAGTGGGGTTTGAACTCACTGTCTTTTGAATCTAAGGCTATAGTGTTACAAACAGGGTTACAGATGTTAATCATTAGCACCTCCAAACCCAAAACCACTTCTGTCTAGAAGGTCAAGGACAGCAATTACATGGGAACGCCACCACCAAGATGTTCTGCTCTCAGTCACTCACTATCCCAACTTGGAAATCATTTGCCATTCCTTCAATGTTGCTGGGTCAAAATTTTGGAACTTCCTCTCTCACCATGTTGTGGGTGTAGCTGCAGCAAATAAATTGCAGCAGTTCAAGAAGGCAATTCACCACCACCTTCTCAAGGGTAACTAGGGATGGTCAATGAATGCTGACCAAGCCAGTGATGCCCACGTTTGAGTGAAGAAAATAAAGGGAACTGAGCCTCATGCAAGACATGGAATGAAAGAGATGCTGAAAGTAGTTTATAGGTACAGTGATTAGTTTCAAAATTTTAACTGCATTGTGCAATGAAATTATTTCCTTTAAATTTTGCAATGTTCAGCAAAATGAATTTAATATCTCAGTGGGAGATCTGACACACACCTTTTCCAACCTTGCACACTGTTTCCATATGAAACTGTAAGATGTAAAATGTGGCCAAGCAGATTGGAAACTTCTGAAGCCTCTCTGTAATTAATTTAAGCCTTTAGTGCCACGCTGACATGCTGCCCACAGCTTTTAAACCTGTGTCTAAAAGTTAACTGGTGAGTGAGAAGTCATCATATACTTCTGTAGAACTTTCTCCTCAGCAACATTATTCGTGTTTCATTTAGGCTCGGGTCATGCCTGCAAGCAATCTTACCTCATTAATATTTCCAGGGACAGACTAATTTAAAAGGCTGATACCTGGAAGATAGAACGATGTTGCTTTTTTTTCCCCCCTCTAGAAATAAGATGACTCAACAGAGGCTTTAAGAATCTGAAAGGATTTGATGTGTCCATAATAAATAGGAGCACAAGCAATCCATTGGGCTCTTTGAGCTTGCTATGCCCTCCAGTAACATCACAGCTGACTTTCTCTGTCAACTCCACTTTCTGACACTACCCTCTAATCCCTTCATTTACTAAGTATCCAAAATCTATGTATGTCTGATTTGAATATCATTGCGGTAGATGTAGAAAGGTTGCTTCTTTGCAAAATAAGAGATCAAAACTAGAGAGTGTACATATAAGAAGTCGCACTTTGAAAGATTGGCTAAAGATTAGATATCTCTGGGGTACTCATTCTCCCTTCCGTGATTTACCACTCAAACTATCTTCATTGTTTTTCATTGTTGCATTGTAGCGAATAGAGACAATTCAGCTAATGTAAACAGTACATGACTTGTAATAAGGGCAACACAATACATTACCATAATCTGCTAGTATGCCTCAAGAAATTATTTGCAACATTTCCAAATAATTTACAATAAAATTTCTGGTGCACATGTATTCTGTGACCTACATTGGATCTGAATCTGCTATCACCTCAGTTTGAAACTTCTCATTTCAATATTCAAACCCCTCCCTGACTTCATCACTCCTGAGTTCCCTAATCTCCTCCAGTGTTGAATTTTGCTAAAATCCCTGCAATCCCCTTATTCTGACTCCTTGTGCATCCCTGATTTTTTGTTAAACTACCATTTGCAGCTGTGCTGTTAGCCTTCTGGACCCCAAGTTCTAGATTTCCATTCTCACACCTTTCCACCTTTTCATCTAAGATACTTCTATGAACCTACCTCTTCAAACAAAGTTTAGTAACCTATTCTAATACTTACAATGTATGTTTTACTACATTAAATGCACTATTTAAATGGACACTGTTGGCATGACAATCACAAAGTTGAGCCACAAGATAATTCAAATTGATAATCTAAAGATAATTCGGATCATAGGTCACACATTGTAGACAATTAACAATGTTGTCTGTCACTGATTTACTTCTTTTATGTCATATTTCTTTGATGAGTACCTCAGTATATTGTAAAACCTAGTGAAAGAATTGTAGCATTTCAAGTCAGATAAACTGAGAAAGTAATTAATGCCCTAGCATACAGTTACAGGACTAATTTGCAGTGCTGACCAACAGGAAGAAAATATAACACAACTCAAAAGGATTAAACGTTTTAGGTCAGTTGGCCATTGTAAACACAGTAGGTACCGTTGCTTAGTCACAATAAATAGTAGGTACTGGAAGTACGAAATTAGCAAACATTGGAATCTGAGAACTTAAATGCTATTGACTATGGTCTATTCAAGCAGTTTGAATGCAGATTCATGTACAATGGCTTAGTACTACCATACTCGGGTCTGAATCAAAAAAATTCTGGATTCACATCCCACTGCAGAGATTTGAACAATGTAAGCCAACCTGACATTCCAGTGCAGTGTTGTGGAAGTACAGTCTATCAGATGAAATATTAAACAGAAGGCCACTTTTGCCCTCTTGTTTGAGTGAAGAGATCCTATAGTACTACTTTGAGCAGCAGGGAAGTTCTGTCTGGTGTTCTGGTGGATATTTATTCCACAGAAACGATCTTTAGACATGGATTATTTAGTCATTATCAAATTGCTGTTTTGGGAGCTTGCTGTGTGCAAATTGATATCATGTGGAGTAGGCAAAGTGGCTACCCTTCAAAAGTCCACAATAGCTGTAAAGCTCTTTGGGACATCTTGAGGTTATGAAAAGCTTATCTATGCAATTCATTCTTTGTACTGATGTCGCCAGTGAATTAACCCTTAATGAACTCATGATCATTCTTCTATCTGCTATTTTGCTGCAGGTGTTAAACCATTTCTGGATGCTACTATTTTTATAGCCATAGGAAAATTCTCTTTCTTTTGCGTAAAATTGAGTGAGGTTGCAGAGACCAATAGCTGGGAGTGTTCATTGTAGAATCATGGAGCCAGTGCAGCACAGAATGAGGTCTTTCAGCCCATTGAGTTCATGTCCCTTCTCCATGCAGCAATCCAGTCAATCCCATTCCCCAGTTTCTCCCTGCAGCACTGCAATTTTCTTTCCTTCAAGTGCCCATCCAATTTCCTTTGACGTCATTGATATCTCTGCTTCTACCACCCTTCAGTTCCAGATCATTACCACACATTGTGCAAAAACATATCCCTCATATATCCCTTCATATCCCTTCCTCATATCCCTCCTGCATTTCTAACCCAAAACCTTAAACCTGTGTCCCTAGACCTTGTACCAGTAGTTAATGAAAGATTTTCCCCATTTATCTTATCTCATCATGTCAAATCTTGAATTTTTTTTTGTTCTTCGGTATGTTCAATCTAATATTGTTATTAAAACTCCCACTCCCTGCAACCACTTTGGGAAATCTCTGCATCCTCTAAAGGACCTTCACATCTTTTCTAAGATATAATGATCTAACTACAGGTAATCGTCCAGCTGTAGCCTTGCCAGAGTTTTGTAAAGTTTCAGCAGATCTTCTCTGCTGTTCACTTCCTCAACACCCCATTAGGGCAGTGGTGTTTGCTGAAGTGGGGAGGTGGGACATTTGGGTTTTTGCATTCTTCTTCTGCTGTTTGTGCTTGACCTTCTTCTGAGCTTGTCGATGATGCTTCTTTTCCAATTTGGGTGGTTTTAGCCTAGCGGTTCCCATGAGCTGTTGGGGATATTGCATTTTTTCAAGGAGGCTTTGAACGCTTTTTTTGAAGTGTTTCCTTTGCCCTCATCTGTGTAGAGAGCTAATTTAGGAAGTGTAGTGTCAGGCACATGGTTGACATAGCCTGTCTATTTAGCTCATTGACTTTAAGCAGCACCTTGTTGCTGGGAATGTTGGTCTAAGAAAAGATAATGATATTAGAGTGCTTATTCTGCCAATGGACTTGCATGACTTTATGCAAGCATTGCTGGTGATAGTTTTCAAGGAATTTGAAGTATCATTGCCCTTGTCTTTCCACATACAGGAAGGTTGGTAACACTGGGATGATGCAGTTTGAACAGTTTCCCGCTCACCCTGTAGATTAACTCCACATCAGCAAGAATCTTCAAGGGTATGGACTGGAGTGTTGCATCTAAAGGGATGAAGAAGAGTTTTGCTTTGATGGCCCCAGTTTGTGCAAGTATTGGGTCTGTGGTGGATCGATTAGTGAGGAGGACAGCTTGCATTCCATTGTACAGCAGACAGGATGGTGACAATAATTGGCAGTCACTAAAATTTGAGCAGGCGCTTCATCAGCCCTCTTGGTTGACAGAGCTGAACCATACAATCCCTACGGTGTGGGAGCAG